ATAATGGTAGGAAGAATTCTCAGCTGCTTTGCTAAAGCTGAGTCAAGCACTCTGAAATTTCTTTGCCATCTGTGGAAGAAAGGGAGTTCGCTCCTCATTTGTTGAGGCACAGTGTGTCTGACTTGATTGGATAATTTTTTTTTCTTTAAATTTATTCCCAAATCAAAATTAAATTACTTTTTAAGAGAATTTCCCTGAATAATCTATCAGAAAATACCAGATCTAATAATTCTAGCAATGTCATGAAACTGTCTCTGGAAAGATTTCTTAGAAACAGTAGCTTAAGAAAGCGTACGTTAGTATTATGGTGAGGGATGAAGTAAACCACGTGCATATTCAAAGAATATGTTTTTGAAGCTAATGTTCTGTTGTTTGAGATAGAAGTTTAGTTCTGCAAAGCAAAGGTTTTGAAAAGGCATTTTAGTGCAACACAAAAGCTGGAGGAAAGCTTCTGAAGAAGTTACCCTCTGTGCTTGCAGCCCTGCAGGTGGGCATAAGGTGGTGTGCATTTGGGTAATTTTAGGTTTGATGTTATATTGAGACAAGAATCTTTGATCCAGATTGCACAGCCTGAGATTGATCAATGATCTTTTTGGGTTTTTTATTTCATCATCTATACAGGGGTTTATTTAATGCAGTGTAGTTATTATGGTTATTTATTAAGAAAACAGTAAGCTTTAAGTGCCTAGGGAAGGTGGGGGGGTAGGGTGGAATCACCTAAAAATCTTAAATGTTTAGGATTATAGGGGCAAAGTAGTGAATGCAGAAATCAAGTAGAGTGAGAGATTCTCAGGAGGAAGCAAATGTAACTTAACTGCAGTATGTTTAGGAAGTTACTTTGCCCAATGTCAAGACACTGGAGGACTTTGGATTATGTTTTGTTATGATTCTTAATACTGTCTGCAGCCAGCTCGTGCTGGTGCATAGTGAAAATTGCTGCTGGAGGGAAATCCTTGGGCTCAGGGAAGAGTCGGGGGGGTTTAGTCAGGACACTGTTTTGGCCCGTTTTCTTAGATGAGCAGCTTGTTCCTGGGAGATCCTGAGCACTCTGCTCCCATGGGACTGGGGAGCACTGCTCAGCTGCCCTCCTGGAAGTGAGATGTGTGTGAGGTACGAGGCCTTCTGTGGGGAAGGTCTGGGGGACTGAGCCAGAGGCAAGGCCAGCAGGAGCCCAGAGTCAGGGAGAGGAAGGTGGCAGCAGCTGAGCAGGAAAGGGGGTGCACAGGTTTACCCACTTTGACATCTGTTAGCTTGACTGAAGGGGTGTCCCATAGCTGTGCTTTAGCTGTGCTTTTAGAACAACCCACGTTCTGGCAGTGCCTGGGACCAACACCATAGACAATAAAAAGAAACATCAATGACTAGCCACTAGTTACTTTTTTTGCACTTGAACTTAAATGTACTGTACTCACATAAATCCTCATGACTTGTCTAAGTGTCCTTTAAAATCAGAAATGTATTTATTGTATGTTTGTATAACTTGGGGGAGAACTAAAGACTGAACAGGTGACAGGACAGAAGGATGCTAAAAATCATCTTGAGGCTAACCAACCATTTGTTGAGTTCATGCTGTATGGTGTTACCTCAGCTGCTACTGCATAGCACCTGGATTGTGAAGTGAAGAGCTTGTACACTGTGTTTACACTTCAGAATTGTGTATTTGAAATGCCTGCTCTTTTTGGAATTGTATAGTCATTCTATGTTGCAAAATGGACATGTACACCTGGATTTTGATATTTGTGAAACTGTAAAAACTGTGGTAAGAAATATAAAATATCCATAACATATTTAATACATGAACCTTTTATTTGTTCATATTAGTATCAGCAGTGAACATAACCAACCTGAAGTGAAAATAATTCAGTGATAATGACTTTTTACTAAAGTCACTGGAGGATGCTGAACCAAGAGCCTGGGCACTACTCTTGCACTGTGTTAAAATGGTATTTGATAATAAAATCTGCCTGCAGGCACCAATTCCCTTCTGTGGGGTGCAGGGACTGTAAAGGACACAAACCAATGTGCATTGTAAAGTGGTCAGTGTGAAAGAGTGCAGGGATCACTGTGAACACCACAGAGAAAAATGTAACATCCTTTGTGAAGGGAGAAAGGGAAGGGTAAGAGTTAGGGCAATGGATTAATGCTTAGATTCTGTTCCTAGATTTTCTAGCTGAAAACCAAAACAACAGTACTTAACAATTGTGTTTCAGTAAGGCTGTCACATACCACAGGAGCACTGTGCAAGTGAACAGGGTTCCAGTGACAGCAGCTGGTTTTGGTAGGTTTTGTTTATGGAACCTTTCAGTGTTGGAACAGGCTTGGGAGGATTTTTAAAGTCACTATTAGCTACCCATTAAGGTAGCCATCATCTTTCTCCTGTTGCTGCCATTCTGTTTTGCATGCATTTAATAGTTTCCTGCTGTGCTTTGGATAGTATTTACCCATCCCTGCCAAACGATGCATCCCACAACTACATACAGCGTGAGTTGATTGCGCTTTAACTTTTTTCCTTGTTGAAGAAGGTGTACCTGGTATTCTTCTAAAATGTGTAATTACCTAAACTAAGTGTGGGGGGGCTGTTCCATTTAACATATTGCTTAGGTAAAATACTACCTTGATGTATAATCTGGGCTACTGTACGTAAATACATGTTATGTACTTACATGCCTCCACATTATGGAAGGGTAATCATCACTACCTCACTACAGAGAGGACATTCAGAAAAACTGTCTGTTTAAGCTCAGACAAATCTGATTCTCTTACTTGGCCTCGAATTGCTTGGATGGGAGTTCTTGGCTAACTATGAAGTACACTGAAAAAAACCTCTGTACTTCAAAATATGCAAAAAACATTTAAGACATCTCTTTGAGTATCCTTTGCCTGATCTGTAATGATTTTAAGTACTCCGTTTTCATGATGATGACACAAAGTAAAATAAATCTGATTTAGTCTGTGGTCATTGTTCAGGGGGGAGTTTTCACTCCTCTCCTAAACCAGCCAAGATAATGAGACCTTCCTCTGTTTTCACAACTGCTTGTTGCTAGTGCCAGAGCCCCCCAAGCCAAACTGGACTTCCTGAGTGTGGATTATCTGTGGATTTGGTAGCACCAGCCTCTCTTAGGGGTGAGTCTTGCTGCTAGTAGCCTTCCTAAACAGAACTCTTGCTCTGGTTTTGAATGTTATTGACTTAACAGCGAGTGCATTTTGGATCACCTGCTTGACATGGCTTTTCTCTGCTAAACATGCTTTAGATTCTGCATAGGTACTTAAAATTTTATGGCACTAAAGGGTGTTAAGTGTCTCTTTACTGTAAAATGGAAGTGTTTCTTTTAAACTGAAGCAATATAAAGGAGAAAAGACCACATCAGTAAGGCTTTAGGGCTTTCAAGCACCAACTCTGAGTCCTTTGTTACACAGAGGAGCTCTTGGATTATGGTATGGCCGCACTTTTTAGCACCATTGGAGGTAATGGGTTTTGTCCCTGCTGCAGCAATGGACAAGGAGAACCCAGGACAGCACCTGCACTGCTGAAGTCATGCTGCACCACTAGGCATGTTACAAAGAACAGACAGCCCTTTTAAAGCAGACAGATCCCAGTCTGACATGCCCTTCTTGAGCACCAACTGCTCCCCACTGCTTACAGTTCCCGGTGGGTTTGTGAATTAATCAGAACTAACGGTCTTTTGTTTTCTGCAGTTTGTAGGACAGTAAAGGAAAACAGCAAAGTTTCTCTGAGAAGAGAAGAATACAGGGAGGGACAGTCTAAAGAACAAAAGAAAGAAATGACATCTGCAGGTGGATGAACTGAGGTACACACACTACTGTCTAGCCTAGGACTGTGTAAACATGAGCTGAAAGACACGTGACTGCCTAAATTTCTCTGTGGTCCTCCCCACTTCTCCTGTGAGAAGTCCCACAGATGGCTGAGAAGGGAAAGGTAAAAGGTATCTTCCCTCATTGTTTTACCAGAAATTATTTTCTGCTTCTTAACTCAGTGAACAAACTACTGAGTACTCTGAGGCCAGTGGAGCTCTGAGTGGGTTATCTGCTTTCCCAGTTCCAGGCTCACAGCAGCACTCTGGCTCTGCTAATAGCAGTTTCTCCAAGCAGCTGACACAGCCTTTGTGGCCTTTTTGGGGCTCTCCAGAGGCCTGGAATAGACAGCAGGATCTGCCTGAGGTGAGCTGACACTGAAACCAAAGGCAATAACAAAAATGTTTAGGGATGGAAAACCTCTCCTAAACCATTGTCAGAGGTGGAGAAGCAGAGGGCTAGAGAAAGGCTTAGCAGAAGATCTGTACAAGAGCGAAGAAAGTATGTAAATGAACTGAGACTTGGAAAGAACAAAATGCAGTGTAACTACAGCAGAGGTCAAGAACAGAATAATATGGGCAGAGGGTGAAAAGTCAGGCAGCGTTGAGGAGCAGGGGAGCTTAAAACCAAAGGCAGAGGCAGTATGAAGCTAACAGACCAGCCCAGCCAGAAGAGGAAACAAACCTCGTTCAGCTGCATCAACTCACTATAAAAAGTCTCACAACAAACACAATTTATCGACAATCTAACAGCATTATCAGAAGTCTTGACACAGAGGGTACTTAGTAAAAGGAGAGTATTAAAAATGGCTTTTCCTCCCTCTAGTGCTCAGCACAGAGGACTTGATGATGGAAAGGGCCAAAACAGATTCTGTTTACTAGAGGTAGTGTCCTTGGTAAAAGAAGGCATCCTGGTGGACAGGCTGTCTCCAGTACTTGCCTTGGAAATGCACAATGTTTGTTTCCCTCGTGAAACTTCCCATAGCATGGGATTCCTCTTCACTTGAACAGCCCCTATGGTAATCAGGTAACATTGGTGATAGAGGAAACAGTTTTTTTCAAAAATTCTTCTTTGTCCACCAGCAACCACAAGAAAAGGCCAAGTGTGAGTTCTCATTCTGTATCCTCCCTTTCTAGGAGAAGTGTGTTTTTTGTCTCTTTTTTTCTGTTGTTGTTATTTCTGAAAGCTCAGAGCAGCTCAGTAGCATATGGAAATGGAATTTGTGTATGCATTTCATTTTCATTCTCCTCATCTTCTTCATGGACAGAATTGGCTGGCTCATCTTGCTCAGACTGTGCCCTTGTCTCAAACAGCTGCTCTTCCAGGAAAAAGCTCCCAATGCCATACTGCTCATCATGCGCCTTTGTTTCTGCAGGTGAGATGTGGGGAGATCCCAGAACAAAAGCTGCAAACCTGCCAAATTTTTAAAGGGAGAAGTTATCAGCTGGGAAATTAAAAGAAGAAATAATGTAAATTCTAGGAGTATTGCTATTTAGGAAGGAGTGTTGTAAGGACATCCCTACAGGCAGTGCAGATGAGGGGAAGTCCCAATAATGGGTGGCAACAACTACAAAGACTGTTTTTCCCAGCTCATCTTTTCAGTATTTTCTGTAGAAGTAACTTTTGCTCTTCTGGAAACCATCTGCAAGGCCTTGTGACTAAGCAAGAAGATCTAACTTTGTTTTCACATCTTGTCAGTACTTGCAGGGTAATCCAGAGTAAGCATTTGTACAGCGGGGTAGTTGGTACTTTAGCTTCTAAAAATAAAGATGTAGCATATTTGAGACAAAGGCTGTAAGAATTCAGGTGTGTTGATATTGCTAATGCAAGGAAAAAATGGCAAGAATTCTGCACTCCTACATTGGATGTAGTCACCTTGCTGCTGGTGCTGCGTGTACACTGTGGGCAAGCTGAGCTCAAGTCTTCCCAAAGAATTCCTGCCTCTGGTGAAGCTGGAGCTGCAGACTGGGAATTCTGCAGCTGCTCCAAGTAAATGCCAGAACAAAGCATGAACTTAGCACTGTCCCTATACTGCAATCCCCCACAAATCTTCCTTTCAGTGGGCAACTCCATTGAGGAGAGAGAACGGAGCTGGAGGTTTCTGGCAAGAGTGTTGGAACAGATGGCAGTTCTGACACCTGGGTAAGTGTCGACAGCATCAGAGAAATGTATGAAGAAGGAAATGCAGCTATATTCTGGAGTTCTGGTAAACTGATCAATAATTTACATTTCTGTGAGATGAATGTCGTCACCTCACTGTTCTTGGGAGCTCTGTTAGTCTAAATGGGGAACAGGTTTGCCAGGGATGAACCACAGTCTGATGCTTAATGGGAGCTGGGAGGCGTTCTCCAAATATGATTGCTGTTGGTTCTCCTTTTTATTTCCCTTTTCACAACCAGTGAACAGTCTATAACAACTCTATTAATGAATTGATGGCTAGAAAATAAATGTCTCAACTTGTTTTGTACATTTGGTGGTATTTAGTTGTACAATACAACAGTAAGCTTTCACTTTTTTATCTCTCCATCATTCTAAAGAAGGCAAGCAGCTTAGAAAGTAAGATTGTTTAACAGTAAATCTATAAAACTTGGCAGAGAGGCTGTCTGCGTGCCAGTCCAAGGAAGATGAAGATTCTGAAACTGGGTTTAACTTGTTACTGAATAAATTCCAAACTGACTGGGGTTCCTTTAAAATCGTGACACTTGGTTCTGTGGCAAGGACTAAGTCTTTGGGGCTGGCTAATACATGAAACTCTGCTCTGATCTCTTCAAGTTTTTGTTTTGACGGGAATACACTGTTATGATTAATTTTATATTCTGCAGGGTTTTCTGGCTTTGCTTGCTTGACCCTTCCTGACCTATATTTGTCTTAGGTTTATCTCTTAAGCTATACATGGCACAGCTCTTCTACCTGTTCTACTTGCTCATTGCAGGTATTGATTTCTTTCTCTGTATTCTTAGTCTTACATAGTGATACTTCAATAATAGGATTCCCTGACTGTGCAGATTTGCAGTTGGAGAGCTTAATATAGGTAATATTTGAGTTGGTATCTTCACTGTGCCCCAGTTTTACACCACAGAAGAGGGCACCGCTCTAAAACCTGGAGCAGGGCAATTTCACTGATTAGAGAGCCACCAGGGTCACTGCAAGAGCTTACAGAGGCACTCTAGAAGCCTTTAAGTTCTATGACCATGAATCAGCTGTGAAGGTCTGCAAACTCCCAAGAGTAATTTGTGGTCAGGGAGGAACAAACAGAAATTGAATGCCACCAGTAAGTAATACCCTTGAGAGGTGTGGCTGTGGTCCTGAGTGGGATGTGCAAGAGAAACACACCTGGAACAGTGCCTGAAGTGGCATTTATGTCTGCAGTGTGTTTAGGTGTGCAATGTGTTTCCTGTTTTAGAGGAGCCAGGTTTTCTTACCTGTGTGGAGCCTGGAGTTTGGATACAGCTATCCATGATGGGAAGTCAGGGCTCCTGCAGAATGAGCGCAGCTCCTCCAGAGCTCTGATAGTTTCACTCTCACCTTGTTCTCGATATTCCTCTTCAGTAAGGTATTTAAACACCAATTTTTTTGATTTAAAGTGATGCTTCATTTTTCTGGAACAAAATTAAAATAATCAGTATTTATGAAGTCTTCTGGCAAGTAATTATCTGCCCTTTTTCTCTATACCTGCTATTAACATGCATTAGTCACCTCTACCCTTTTAAGAGAACAAGCTGCATTCTTACATTTTAAGGTAAGGTATGTAATGTTTGCTAGCCTGTTTACCCTAGGTCTTAACCAAAGCTGTAGAATTTCACATGGTATTTAATGAGCTTTAGATCAGGTCCTTATTGTGTATGCATGGACTAAAATCTCACAGAATTAGAGATGGCTGCTTGCTCAGCCATTTTTAGGTGCAAAATGTGTCTGTGCAGAGACATGGGCTGAATCAAAACTCAGTCTGCATATGCTACTTCAAAGATAAGCAATGCTCTAAGCCTGTTGTGAGTTGTTTGTGTTGTTTACTAGCTAGCTTCTCTTAAATCTTGCTGTGAATTACAAAACTGAGTAGTCTGAGGCCAAAATGTTTACAATCCGATGGTTTTTTAGCTGCTGCGTAGAGATGTATAATATAATTAGATTTAAATTAGAAAGCATGCCATGTTCTGTTTCCTTCTGTCAACTGCTTTCAATTTCAATGTTGTGATGAGTTAAGATAAGCAAGGGATGAATGCCCATAAAACTTTCAGCTCTGTATAAAAACACCTGCTCCAACAGCAGCAGCAGCATTCAACTTTCCTCCTTATATCTCCTTAAAGCAGAGAACTGTAGTCGTTGTGTAGGTCAGATGGTGAAGGATCTTGCTGGCTCAGTGAGATCCACTGTTCTTAACAAGAAATATTGCAAGACTCTAAATTATTTTCATATATTTGCTGCTCTGAACTGTGTATCTGGCATCGTGGCCTCACAGTTTGGTGCTGTAGCTTAAGGATTTTGAAACAGAAAAATTCAAAAGCCCTTACTCTCCTAAGAGAGATTACCTGTAGAGCTGTATTTCTTTATAGAAGCATCAGTTCATGAAAACCAAAAAGAAAGAACTACATGGAGAATAAGCTACAATGTTTCAGAGTAAAACCTGAAAGTAAAGTAAAAGTGAACTTGTGGCCACATCATACTGATTCCAGTGTTCTGAACCTGCTTACAACAGGTGCTGATCTTACATGTTGCTTTTGAAATCGCTGTTGCTCCTCAGCTGCAGGCAAAAATTGGTCTACAACAAATGATAAATTCTCTCTAAAGTAAAAAAGCTTCAACTCAGGCCACACTTCAGCATGTAAAAAAAAGAATACACGACTAAAGCAATATGTTTTTCAAAACGAAATAGTGTGTATTAAAAAAAACCAAAACAAGCCGAAATTATTTGGTTTTTATTATTTTGGTTATGCCAGTTCTAGCCTTTGCCTCTTCCTACTTCTCTGCAGTTCAGCAAAGTCCACAGCTATGGAACAGTCTGTACTAAAGACTCTGAAGCTGGACGCCATCCATCACTGAAGGTAAAAAACAGATGTCAATTGGCAGGGCTTTTTAGAATCTTCATTTGAGTGTTGCACTTGTGCTAAAACATACTTCAAATTCAAGGATGAGCAAACACGTTGTTCCTGTATTGCTACTGCAAACACTTAGCAAGTTAAGGTCTACCTACTGCAAGCAGTTCCTGTTCCAAATCCACAATGTAAGTGGGCCTCTAGGAATACCTCCATAGTTCTGATAGATTGCTTCTATGAATGACAGGGAGAAAAACTAAAACCATGGAGAACAATATTTTGTGGCCATGTGATTTCAGTCTCTGAACTCTCCTCAAGCTCCAAGGACTATCACTTTTGAACAGCTGCATCCTGGTGATGGTACAGTGTTTTATCCCTAAGATTCCATATGAGTTCCCTGCAGCTTCTCTCACTACATGTCAAGCCAAGGCAGTATTGCTGCAGTCTCATCAATCAAACAGAAATGTTCTGGTTGCCATATGCTGTGGACTAGAAGGTGCTACATTTGTCCTTAAGAACACAGTCATACTTCTCCATTATCCACAGAACAAAACTCGTGCTTAAAACTGCCAAGTGGAAAATCATTTCTGTGTCTCTGGACCTTAAACCTTTCCTAAGGCAGTTTTTACATCTGGCAAAATTCTGAACTAGTACTTGAAATTCCTACACCATTATTGAAGTGTAGGGTTTTTTTCATGATCAGCTTCCAGTATTGAATAGCTTCCAGTATTTCCTGGTTCTCCCAGGACTTTGACATTCACAAACAGACACAGACCTGGCAATGTGACAGGCAGCACCGAGGGGGTAACACAGGCCTTTGGAGCAGAGGCTGACTGCTATGACTGCATAAGCAACTTGAGGGATGGTGACACCAAAGTAGATCAGGACAAAGGCTGTTAATTGGAGCGTCCATGTGAACAAGGTTATGCTGAGCTCTGTGGTCAGTGGCCCGTGCTGATAGCAAATGGCAAAGCTGGTAATCCCAACAGCCAGAAAATACCCTGTAGGAACAGAAAAGGACATGGAGAAAAAAATGCAAACTATTCCTATAAATTTAGCTTTGTTTCACAAAGCTTGCAGCTGCTGTGAAGGGCAGCCTACTGATTCTTGTGTTATCTTAGAGACATGATGTTTATGTGTTTTCTATTTCCAAAGTGTGCCAGGAGTTCACAAGGTTATCTGAACAGCTTTTAGCCAATGCTGTGGGCTGCACATGAATTCTCAAGGCAGGTGCCAGATCAATAGGTTTGTCAGCCCCTGCAGCCACATCCCATTCCCAATGTGTGCGTCCATTTCCCACATCCAGAAAAACTGCAGACCAGAGGAGCTGCCCTTTTGCTCTTCCAGGGAAAGTATGTAACGAGCAAATAAATGAATAAATACTGCAAGCAAAATCTGCAGTATATTAGAACTAGTCCTCTACATCAAACTCTTTGTTCAATGATACAATGTGAGTAAACACTCATTTGAGTGGATTAGGAACCTTTAGAATATTTCAACATCTATGGCTTAGGAGAAAATAGAACTCTATATGAGTCACTTGATTTTTTATGGGCAGGTATTCATCTGATCACTAAATTAAACCAAAATCTGCAGCACATTTCTTGGTAATTTTCTTACCCAACAGGTAGTTTTTGTGTTCAGACCACCACCACTGTATATTCTCTTTGAAACAGTAAATAAAATAGAGAGAGACCATCCAGGAGCCACTCATTAAAATCCAGAAGGTACTGTGCTAGAAATTAAAAAAAAAAAAAAAAAAAGAAAGAAAGAAAAAAAGGAAAAAAAAAAAAAAAAAGAGTAAATAAAACTCCATTAAAAAAATTCAAGCCAGAATCAGGACTATTGTTTCCAAAGGAACTCACAGGCAAAAACAGATGTGAAATTCTTTAGACCTACAGGGTTTGAGACTTCCACTGCACAGTCCTCTGCATGCTACAACACAGTATCAATTCCAAGCAGAGAAACTGCATCCCTGTACTTGTGTATCATGTCCCAATGTCACAGTATAACCATACTGACATGTGTTCCCAATTAACATATCTCAGCAATATTATGGGAATGCACAAGCTTTATAAAACTAAAGAAAAAAATTCACATCTGCCTGACAATGAATTGTCTTTGGTGAATGGAAGAGAATCTTAGTTGCCACTGTATTTTTATTTAGATTGATTCACAGATTCAAAGATAAGCTTAGCTCCAGTTCAATGAAAATAATTTATGTTTCAGAATGAACTCTTCTTGTACATCACCAATGCCTGTTCAGTTTAAACTCAGGAGGAAGCTAAACAGAACTTGACTCTGACCTAACTCTATTTACTTGATTCAAGCAATCCTGCAGTCATTTCAGTGCAGTTACCTGGCCACAAAACCAGAACAAGGTCAGAATCTGGCTCTGCACTGTCCCTTCTTGTTTTAGGATGAGTACTATTATTTTGTTTCATAAATGTAGATTTACCCTTGGAATAAACCTTTTAAGTGTCAACAGGACAAAGACTAGCAGAGCAAGAACACCCAGTATTATTCCAGAAAGGTAAAAGAACTTGGCACTCCTGTAAAGAGAACAAGAGAGAATATGGTGAGAAGTATCATCTGTAATTGCTTAAGATGCCAACATTTGTAAAAACAGCAGTGATGTTCAATAAGAACTTAAATCAGCTGTAAGTTAGAGTTGTAGTTATATGGTTAACAGGCCCAGTTCAGGTAGTCAATCTGTGTAAGGAAAAATTCCCAACAGATAGTTAAGGTCACTGGAGTTGTTAACAGGTTAAGAGACTGTGCTGGGGTTTTTTAAAGCTCACGCTACTTCTGATTGCATTGACCTTCTAGGCTCTAGTACACAGAAGAAAATGAAATAACCAATATGGTTCTGTACTGCTAGAGAAGTTTTATTTTAATTTAAAATGCAGAAAATGCTCCACAAACTCACAAGTTTTTTTTCCTAAGCGTATGCATTTTTAAATTTCATCTTAATTCAGAGTTAATGCTATAAAACCTATTGCTGCTCTGCTTGTTTTAGAGGTGCCTCCTGACAATTATTTTGTGACTCACTTTGCTTTGAAGTTGTGGGCACATATTTTGCTCTAACAACCGAGTATCCTCCCTTACGTGCTATGCAAAATGTGCAACAGAAGAAAGGCTGGCACAAAGGAGGGGGCAGAAGAGGCCCCAGATGGACTTTATCCTAAACATTTCCCCCCAAGGAAAGGCATCATTAATGATCAGCATTATTTAGCATTCAGCTATCCTCAGTGGTCTACAAAAGGGAAAAAGGACTTTTCTGGTCCACACGCTTGCCCAGTAAGGATTCTGGTGTCCCCCAGTGCAGGAAGCTTGGATACAAAAACCCTAACATAGCTGACTGATAAACAGCGTTAGGCACTCCAAGGTATATCACAATCTGTCCAAACACAAATGGTATGAGGAAGTTTTAAAGATATATTCAGTTCCTTATTTCACTTTCCCAAAGAACTGCCTCTTCAGCTTAGCAAACAGACCAAAGATGCACAAGCTTTGGGAAAGAAGGTCAAAAGCAGCCAGTACTCACCTGCTCAGGCTGTTTGCAAAATGGAACAGAAAAATTCCAGCTACAAACAAAAACAAGAGCTTTCCATCTAGCACTAAAAAGGGGGGAAAGAAATAGAAATTGACTTTAGACTAATTCAATCTGAAATGCTGATTATACAATATATAAACAGAAAAGTCCCAAGCTTCTTACAGAAGAGATGGTACATTCAGCAGCACTGGCAATACCAAGCCATCTGTAATCTGAACTCAAAGATTTGATACTTACTTTCTCTTTTCACCCGCACAATGTAGGGTTCAATTTTAAAGGGCTGTATTTTGAAACAAACATCCTCTCCATATTGTTTTATGCTCAGAAGAGTTTCTGTACATGTCTCCGGCTTCCAGAAGATTTGAACAGCACATGCAACAAACTCAGAAACAGTTTCTGAATTCCGACAGTTGTTTTTTTCTGAAATAGGCTCAAACCGGAACTTTTCTCTGCTGTTAACTTTTATCTAGAAACAAAGAATAGAATACACAGAGAAGCAGCTCAGAATCACTGGGGGGTTTTGTGAACTGTACTGCATATCAGCCATGCATGAGGTAATGAAAACCAATCTTAATTGTTTAGTATTGGTTATTTTTATTATGCAAAGATTAATTGTTTACAGTTACCTTACAAGGTAATTCAGAGAACTCACCAGCAGCAAAGTTCAGTGGAGGGGCCTCAATCCATCCAAAACCACAGTGGGTTTGGTTTTACTGTGGCACTTGCCCACACACAAATTTCTAACAAAGCCAGAAATATCTGACTGACCACAGTTTGTTTTGTGAATGTTCATACCTCTCCTCCTTCCTGTCCTGAACTGCAACAAATTTGACTTGCCTTTCTTTATAATGCAATCTTCATGTTGGGGACATAAGAGGGATGAGGAAAATGAAAGATAGCATAACCAGAAATTTAAATAGAAGCACATTCCTGTTGGGTGTTTTGGGGTTTTTTGGCCGGTTCCCAGTGCCCTCCCCCACCAAAGTGGTAAAAACTTGTCCATCTCCTAAGCTGAGGTGATTTTCCTCAGGATTCTGATACATTCATCAGGGCCTACCAGACAACAGAGACCCATCTGCAAAAAGGCGATGCAACGTGTAATAAACCAGGTTTGTACTGGGAAAGGAGACAAGGTATCAGCAAACAATTGGTTGTGGAAATAATCTGAACTTCCTGCTTTTAAACATTGACTCCAGGAAAGTTAGTGTCACTGATGGAGGTTTTTACCACCTGGAGCCTGTTGCCATTCACAAAAACACCTGCAACATGTTCCTGAGGAAAACAGTCCTGGGAACAGACAAAGAGATGTTCCACTTTCTTATACCTGAGAGAAAAGTCCTCCAACAGAGACAAAATGAAAAGGTTTCCTTCCTTTGTCTGGAGACATACTTCTCAGGAAAGAAAAGGAACCATGGAGATGGTTAGTTCATTCCTTTAGCTGTTACTGCTTCCACTCGTGAAGGGATTTTTATTTGCTTCAAACTAATCTCTACATATGTGTCTTGTAAGATGACCCTCTGCTAGTCAGGAGAACACACTGCTGCTGCTGTTTGTTCATTAGTCACAATCTAATGAGCCTTTGGTGTGCTGTGGTGAGAGAGCCACAGAACTGCATGTAGTCCTCAGAAGTTCCATAAAGGCAGTTGGTGATAGCCAAAAGCATTTGTTGCAGAGGTTAACAGTGATCCATCAACAGAAAAGGTGTGCAAGAAAATAATACACAATCCTAAATTAATGTTTTTGTGGCACCATCATACTCTTAAGCCAGAGACCAAACCTCACTGCATCCCAGCTGCAGGCTCATAATGCTGCATTCTTATCATGGCCCCAGCTCTTTAATTCCACAGAGATACTGCCCTGATCTTGCTAACTGGCCACAAGATTTGCTGGGAAAAGCTCACATGAAATGTACTGACTGACCCCCAGAACAGCCTCTCACCTGGATAGTCGACCACAGGTACTGTAAGTGAATGGTTCTGTTTTGCACATAACAGTAACAGTTTTCATCCTGCTTCTGGATGACATCCATCTCCTGCAATAAGCTGCAGTTTTTACCTGGGGGGAGCAAAAAAGTTAATTTTAGGCATGTGTCAAATACAAATGTCTAATTATAGTCCATTTCATTGTTGTAAATGCTGACAGAAACATGTTCAATATGATTTAGGTGGAAATTCAAATTGCATTTTTGATCAAGTCATTTAAGCTCCAAGGTAAACTGCAACACCTTTGGACCAAAAAAAAAAACAAACCAAAACAGGGTGGTATTTTTAAAAAATGTAATCCAGAAATGCTTGGCTTCAGCGTCAGTGTTTTGATGGCACTGGAATAGGGCCTCTGGGCCAAATTCACTGCTGGCATGAGTGGGTGTAACTCCACCAGAGTTCCCTGTACCAGTGGTGAATGCAACTGTGGGAGTCTGAGCAGGTAAACAGACTTACATATTAACACAGTCATTTAGCACATGACACGGCTGCTGATCACAAAAGTCATACTCCTCTCCCTCGGAATGTTTCTGATGTTAAATCACACAGCTCTTCTTTTTAGAACATTTTTTCTCCTGTCCCAGTCCAGCCATGGCATGTAATAAGGGAACTGCACTGACAGCTCACCATAAATGGTTGAATTAGAGGTGTGAATTGTTCTAACCCTCCTGAAACCTTAGTGAGCCCCTATGATCTTCAGAATTAAGATTGCACTTTTGAGCAGAAATGGACCTAAAAGATTAATGGTGCAAAGTTTTAGATACATTCTGATCTATATACACTGTAAAATATACTCTACAGTGCATTACCACAGTGTTTCAAGAACATAATTAAAGAGAAGCATAAAGGAAATAATTACACATCCGAACAGAGGGACTCATCTAGCTTACTGAATAGAAAATGTAGGTCTCAGCCAAGCTCAGTAATAACTGCTAACATGCTGTCATGCACTCACAGCAGCACAATGGGTATGTGCAGTCTCAATCCAGACAAGGAGATGCTGTTTGCAGGTAAAAACCTGCAGTGTCTCTATAAGAAAGATGAAATTAAGCTAAATTATATTTTAACAAATTTAGTTAAGCCAATGAAAAATACCGTGTGGATGTTCTTACTTAGGTTTATTATAACATTACGGAATTACTGTCCACACATGATCCTACTAAACTGATTTAACCTTAAAATTTGGGGTTTTTTTTTCTTGTGGAAAAATTACCCATCGGATTAATTTTCATCCATGGCAAATCCAGTGGGAGGGAGCACAACCACTCAGACAAGCACTGGCTGTACCTTTAGACAGGCACTTTCACAAAAGTCATCGCACAATGCTACAAAAGGATTATTTGTCACTGACGTGCTGAGACTGACGCAGCAAGGAGGTGAGGCTGGGCACTACCCAGCCTAAAACCAGGATAATCCAGCAACAGGAAATGGCAGGGCCAAAACAGCCCAGAGTGTCCACACCTCCCCTGAAGGGCATCTTAGTATTTCCTGCCACTATGGATAAAAGTATCCATCCATGTCAACGGCAATGTCATCCACGTGCAAGGCTGGCAAGTATTTTCTTACTACCCATAGTTTTAAGGCATTTTTCTTGAGAAAAATCAGCAGCTTGAGAGTTGCATCAGCTCCACAGAGTGAAACAATGGTGTTCCAAAAGGAGAGATGCTACTGAACAGGTATCTCTGAGGTGGTGCTGGGTTTAGCTACTGGGAGGACACACAGGTAGAGTAACTCTCAAATTCTGAGACTGCAAGCAAAGAAAATCAAAATTATGAGCCACCAGCATCTGCTGCAGAATCCGGAGGATGCCCAAGACTCGAGAACGTCAATGCAAGGAGGAAGCCGGTTCTCGAGTTCCTAATTGCTACTACAACTGAGCACAGCCTGCAGGGGTTTGCCTGCCCTCAAATATGTTAATAAAAGACCTGTTCCCCACCCGATTCCCCTGGCCCGAGCTCCTGAGGAAGCCAGAGGGAGCCGCACACCCAGAGGCAGCTCCCGGCCCCGCCCTTTGTGCGCCGCGGTCCCTTTGTCCGTGTGCGGGCTCGTCCGGGCCGGTTCCCAGCGCCCCTGCCCCCCGGCCACGGCCGCCACGGCGGGGCCGTCCTGCGGGACCCGGACCGCCACGGGAGAACAGGGGCACACGGCAAAGCGCCTCAGGCCGCGGCTGCCCCGGCTCGCTGCAGCTGCCGGCGGGGCGACGGGCCCGGGCCCGCCGGCCGGGCAGCGCCATGTTGGGCGGCAGCGGAACCGCGGGGCCCAGGGACAGCGGGAGCGGAGCGTGTCCCCGCTCCCGAAGGGATGGGCTGAGGAACCCCCGGCCTGTGAGCACCCGCCCTGCCCCGGGCCGGGGGGAACGGGCAGTACCTGCTGGTGGCGCCTCCCCGCTGCCCGCGGCCGCCCCGGGAAGCGCCAGCCGGACGAGCAGCAGGAGCAGCCCCGGCCCCGGGCGGGCCCGCGGGCGCTGCCAGCGGCGAGGCGGCCACGCCGGACCCATGCGGCC